TTTGGAGTATTTATGGTAACATATTTATACCTCATTTCCCTCCAGATGTACAATCTGTCATACTGATTTTTTGTTTTGAAATGCAAGCTGCAAAAATACTCGAAAGATCACGCAGTATGCCAAGTACAACCATCCAAAAACCACAACGCTATGTCTTCAACAGCATCTCTGCGGTAGATTATTCTGAGAATTTGAGTTGTATAAGCTTTATCCCATGCATTTATTTTGTTCCATTCTATAAAATATCAAAATTACAAAGTTATCTTAACAAAATGCTCTTTTGGAACATGCAGGTGGAAAAGGAATCATTGTAATTATTGGTTATCTGTGCTGTATTATGGGGCACAAACATGGCTTACATAAAGATCTGGCAAAGTGCTCACCCTCTAATATAAAAACCTCTGTCGCAGCAGGGGCATCAATCTGTGTTTGGCTGGGGATGAAAAATGAACCTTTCATCACTTATGAAAGGGTGAGGGCTGTTTGGACAGCACTGCCTTGTGGGACTCTAGCAGAGCAAGTAAGAAATGAAGACTGAGAATGTTCTTGTACAGCTTGTTTTCTGTCAAGAAGATCTGATTTTGTGTTTTGAGATATATTTATGTAAATAAACTTGTGAAGAAAGTTTATGGTTAATAGTGTCAAAAGCAGGGCAAGAACCACAGTGTATGCAAAGTCACTCTGACTGGCTCAGATGTGTCACATTTTTTTACAAGTGACTTGTAACTAGAGACAAATTTGGCCATTGTTTAGGTAATGTTAGGTGATTGGTAATAATATTTGTGCCAAGCTATATGGTTTTTTAGATCTTGAATCAATGACCAAAACTATCATCTCAGTCATCAACAGTGCTCTACAATCCAGTTACATCACGTTGGCAGTTGCCTTTTTAGAATGGCCCTTTTGCAGTGAAAACATAATGAAACATATCTAACATGTTTCTGAACCATGTTTTGATTCTTCCAGGGCACTTTTGAGGTCCATTAGCGGCGATGATTGCTGTTTACATGCAAGTGTGTGTAATGGAAAAACGGACCTGCCATAAAAAAAGGCTGGACAACCACACAGACAAACCATGTCACTCTTGAAAGCAAACAACTCTGCCGACACAGAGCCACGCTGACCTTTATGATGCTTTCAAGTGTTTTATGGCTCTTGTAGCAGTCACCATTTTCCAACAGCCACTTCTCCATGTCTCCCACTCAGATGTGTTGTGCTCTGTCCGTTTGTGCATAAAATGATTGAGATGTAGCTCTGAGTTCGCAATACTTCAGCTGGAATACGTCAGCATCTGTTGCGGCTTTAGTCTGCATCTCGAGATTGCACTCAGAGTGATTTTTAATGGTGTATTTATAGACTGCTAGATAAAAGAGGGATTGTAAAGTAAAAATAGCCTACACCGTAGGGAGGGGCTGGTATGAGTGCAGAGGCTGTATATTGTATGAGGATAGAAATTTAATGAGTGACATGGGTAAAGTGGCAGGGTATAATGCCACATCCACACAACATGTTTATGCATGAGACACTTAACACACATTGAGAACAACGGCACAAACAGATGCTTTGTTTTGCTGTGATTTAATCTGCATATTGTGCCTGAAAAGCGTACAGATGAGAGGTGATGTACCTATTATGAAAGTGTATGAAAAAAGTCAGTCAATCAAATTAACCAAATTCATCAAGGGAGCTCATCTACAGATCAAACTGTAAATGTATAATGTCTACATTTTGCATAACCTGGATAATATACAAACTGCATTATTCTTATTTTATGCATGGAAACAACATTTAAATAGTTGTAATATCTTAGCTAAAAAATCCATCTACTGTGAGCATATTGTCTTGGCTTGCAGTCACATCTCACAGCAAGAAGATCCCAGGATATGTCTGGATGGGTTACCTCCGAATGCTCTGATTTGACCCATCATCCTATATACACAATATTCAAAAAATCTCCTACTCTTGACTAAACCCAACTCAAGATCCAGAGGTCGGCCCAGCAGCAATGAAGGATAGGTCAAATGCAAAGATCCTGTTTCCTTATGGGGACAAAATCTGTGTAAAAATGCAAGACATATTCTTTCATATGTCAACAAAGAACATGTAACAAAATCTAAATGAGTGATTATGAAAGTGTACTTGCAGGGGTTATTACTGGTTGGTTTTGGAAAGTACACTGGTCTGGGGGATTTAGTGTTGTCTTTTTAAAACCATCTTCCTGTCTGAAAATAAGTCTTTTTAAATGATGCTGGTTTGGGCACCGCTGGGATGACTGTGTGTCTGCGTTATAGTAGCTCTCACCAATGACAGATGGGCTTTTTCCACTGCTGGCCCACTGCTTCCACTTCCTCTGCATCTATTCCTGTCCCAGACCATGTGTCAGACAAGAAGCGAGTTAGAAAAAGTGCAGGTACACAACTGCTTTCATGTCTCTCCAAAACAGAGGGGTGCTATTGATTTCTCTGTGTTGTGAGTTTGCAGTGAGGTACTAGAGGTGAACAGGGTATTACAGATACTATTGTCAAACTGTGATCCTATCAAAGAGGGGAAATTATTCTTATTTTCAATTTGCGTATTTTGAATCTTATAGGTTTAAAATAAAATCTCCATATTAATAAAGTAATAAAAAGTGTACATCTTAAGCTGAAACACACATTATTTTTCAAAAGCTTACCGGCTATGACCAGACCAGAGGGTATAGGCCACTGTGTACTGCTCAGGTTTCAATTCTCTCCCACAAACAATAATTAGACTTAAGTCTTTCTTTAAACAGCCCCACCTCCACAGGCACACTGTGCACTAAAGGCCCAGTGGAAGTAGGATCAGAAAAACAACACCCACTTGTCTGCAGTATTTAGTCAATGTCTGATGAGACATAAAGGCTATTTTATTGGATAACCAATTATGCTATTGCTATGTTTTTGTGCAATTATCAGCAGAATCAACAGAATATTGTTACAGGCAGTGTTACTGAAAATCTATTTACTTTTAATTAAAAATATGGATGGATACTTAAAGATAGAATTTGGTTCCAATTTATAATAACTATGTAAGTAGTATGAACTAAGACTTAATTCATAATGTACAAATAGTTTAACTAATTATTAAAGTGTGCATTACAGATTTATGTGATAATAAAATTTTGACTGAATTTGGTGGGATTATAACATTTCACACATAAGAAACACATTTTTTCTGATATTTTAAAACACAATTTCAACAAAATAAAGGTGTTTTCTTATATTTGTATTTGTCAGATAATAATTTCTGTGTACATTAGAGAAGTTTTGCTAGGTAAAATTTAAGGAATTCCCTCATGTGATTATGTCATGATTTCCAACCAGTAAGTAAAATATGAAACCTAAAAAATAGCCAAATAGGGAAAACAAGTGTGAATGTTTCTGCAAAAACTTAAATATAATTAATATAATTAACTGTAATTTAGTAAAATTTGTAGTCTAACCTGTCATAGGTATTTTAAGGGGTTGTGGTTTGGAGTTAGGTTAGGGTTAAATATTTAATAATCCTTTATCTTCCTTTATAAAGGCCTATTTGTGCATTATACTTTATTAAGGCTAATTTTAGTGTTGTTACTATTGCCTATACCTTTATTACAGTATAGGACTGAACTAAATTACTGCACTACAGCTGTTGTAGTTGCCAGTACTAATTTCTCAAAATAGTCATTGTATCTGCGTGGTGATTAAATTTACTAAACACTGAATCCTTGTCTGATGAAATTCCTCATTCAAACACGCCACAGTATAAATCAAGCTGTTACGGTCAAATACTCCTTAACATTTTCCACCAGGCTTGTTTGAATGCTCTCCATTTTGTAAGTGTGACGGCTAATTACTCAACCCATGAATTTCAATTAAGAGTTTTGTCCTGCTGCTATATAAAGATTAAATGCTGCCAGATGACACATCCTTGTAGCCTTTCTTTCTAAATGTCAAGGAAAGGCCTGTGCGACCGTTTGGATAATCATGTTAAACACAGTGGGAACACAAGTCCATCCCTCGCCCACAGACCTGTTACCTAATCCCTGTAACTCCATGTCACAATGCTCTACCAGTTTTTCAGCACCACCATGACATGCATGCAGGATGTGACTGGAAAAATGTTAAAGCAATAATATGTCACTTTTTAGCTAAAGAAATGCCTAGAAAAAAGCATGTTTTTGTTTTGGTTGCATTTATTGCACTGGAAAATCACAGGTCCTTGAGCAGGCTTGCATTTTCACAAACCTGACTCTTATTTGGCCTGGAGGAGGGTCTCTTTCTACCTGTTTACATGGAAATAATGTTCCTTTAGCTAGCTCCACAGTCACATACTATACCTTAAACTGTATTACTGACAGTGACTAATGACCAATTACCTATTTAACATTTATCTGGTTTTACAGTCAAAGTGCTCTGTTATTTAGAAACGCTTAGATTTAAAGCCACCATTTGTCTTCTCTACATAGTGTACATTCTTGGATTTGTTTTTATG